TTTTTTTCCCAGTTTATATGGTTGACCTTGTGAAATTAGTCTATGAGACCAATACAATCGAATCGAATAGATAAAGAGAAAGTGAGAGAGAATGTACAACGGTAACTTACCGAAACCAAATTCGATTGTTTTCTTCAATTCTGTCTATCAAAAATATTCTTTAAAAAAATAACAACAACAACGGAGTGAATAACACAAACTTGAAACTCATAAAACAAAAGCACGCATTGACACTCATATAAACAACAACAATACCAACAATTGATCGCTGGTTTAATCAAAACATCGAACAATTTCAAATATATCAATACGATGAGTTCAATAGTATTTGATCACTCTTGGCTATGGAGTGTTTATATTATTCATAATCGTGGTGAATGTTTTGACTTAATAATATCACTGTTCATTTTGCACTTAAATGCACATATCACTATTTGCCATGTATCACTATCATTACTACCACCGTCGTTTCGGTTATCTTTTGTTTGTATATCATTAGTTTCATCGGATACACCATCAATATGATCCTTATTATTTTCACTCTTATTTTGTATTAAAGACGTCTCATTATGACTTCTTTATGCATTTCGTATTCTCGAGCATTCCATTTCAAAAATAATTCCAAATAAATTTAACAATAAAGCGAAACTGATAATATAATTTAAAACAAAAAGAAGCAATTTAATGATTTTGATTTTACATTGTTCAAGTGTTCAAGTGTGAAAGTCGAAGTGTGCGATTTGTTTTTATCATGTATTCACTTATTCACTTCGTTTGGCTATTATAACTGATACAAAAAGCGAGAAGATGTGTTTACACATTTACATAGCAGCACGGAGGTGCAACAACTGTTCAAAAAATGAGAAGAGAGCACACGATACGGCCGCGCCATATTCAATTTATATATACAAAAAAAAAGTTTATTTCAATTAAGCGCTGAATAAAGTTTAGAGAGTTTCACACATAAACCATACATATGAATTGTCAAAATAAGATACAAATACATATGCACGTGGAGCACACATACTACAATATGCCGGGCGCAGACACAGACACACTATCATAAGCACATACTCCCGATTGCTAGAAAGCAACAACAACAACAACAAAAACCACAGAAAAATGATGATAATAACAATAATAATAGTTGAAAAAATCTAAACAATGTAAAACATATGTGTTACGAGTCCGAAATAAGCAGAGCAACATACAAACACATACACGCATACACAAGGAAAATGACCGACCGATACTAGAGACGAGACATAGAACGAACGGAGCGGGTGAATCAATTTTAAATATTATTGTTGTTGCTGCTGCTGCTGCTGCTATTCAGATTATTATATTTTTTTTGTTTTTCGTTGTTTTTACTTCTCAAGCCAGTTTTTTTTTTAGATAGAAGAAGAACCGCTTCGTAGCGTGCTCTGAACAGGGCGCGACATACAAGACATTTATTCGGCAAGTAAACATACAAACGCGCATTAAAATATGCTCCAATAGAATAATACTCAGAGAATCAATCAAAGAACGTTGCGTTATGTTTGTCGTTTAGATTGGTTTTTGGTCTTTAGTTTACTATTATTCTTAGCCCTTATGCCTTTTTCAAACATCCGTTCTTTAATTTAAATGTTGACCGTGATTACTATAAAAGACCGTGAACCTTACAATTGATCAATGTCAATGCAAAAATATGGCCATTCTTCAATCCATTATTGGATTTTTGTTGTTATTGAAAGTAATATTTAGTAAAATTGAAACGTCAAGCTTTCGAATAATTTTTCTAATTTTTCGAGCAACATTTTTGTTTGATTTGAATTAACATGTTTCCATAAAACAGAAGAAGAAAAACGTTCGTTTTGGTCGTTTCGACCGAATTGGATTGTTTTTCTATCGACTATATTCATAATACAGTGCTCGATTTGTACAACAACAGAATCAAAATATTCACAATCCAGACTGTTGGCCAGAAGTTATATATAAATGCAAACAGGAACCAAAACTGTATATAGCAAAAAAAAAAGCTGCCCATAATGATAACCAGTCGTGCATATACACAAACAATATTTATTTATTTTCGGCTTAATCATACAAATGCAAAGTTTTGGGTTTTGAATAGTCTTCACATACACATGTAAACGGAATCCTATTGATTTCATCGTGTTTCTATCAATGACATCGAGTTGTTGCTATTATCGACAGCGGTGTGTTGTTTTTTTTTTCTTCGTCCAAAACAACACCCAACCAACACACACGGTGATGCACAGATAACAACATTTATACCGTTTCCTAGGTACTATTTGCTATAATTTGCGGCAATACAATATTACTTACACTTTATTATCTCGTGCAGAGACGATTTAAAACCACTTCCAAAATGAACGAGACATGATTTATCAAAAAATTAGATGATCAAATTATATACGTATATATATAAAAATAATAATATAAAATAAACACTGAATTCACGACGATGATATCACTATAATGCATGCACACCACTACATCAATTTGATTTTCGGAACTCAACTTTTTTTCCTTTTCCTTCTCCCTGATTCTAATTTGATTTTTTTTTTTGGTCACGATTTTATTTCAATATTTTATTAGAATCAAAATTCAGTTTAAACTCAAAATAAAATCACTGATTTTTTTCAATATAGCAATGTTCTTCTAATTGTTTTACTTGGTCACTGTTCAAACCGTAGCATTTGTCTTTGTAGCGCAATTTGTATTTCGCCGACAACACTCAGCTCATTTTCTTGTCTTGTAGTGGCTTTTTTTCTTCTTTCAGTTCAGCTATATATTTTTGAACACCCATTGAATGAATACACATAGAATTCACTATCTTTCATTCTGTCAACATTTTTTTTTTCGACTCACACTGATCAAAATAAACCTTATATTGATCTTTTTTTACAACTTCTTTAATAAAAAATAATGCCACTCTAGTTGTTTTTAATGTTTAGGACCAAATTTTTTCCCAAATTCCTGTGTGTCTTTTGATTTTGTCTTTTGTTAAGTAATACGATGTAATGTTTACGCTCACATCATTGTACAATGTGTAAGTCGAGTGTATTCATATAGCCAATAACAAAAATTCTGTTTATTCTGTCATCGAATAATAATAAAACGTAAGTGAAACAAAGTTGCACGAACGAGACGAATATAGGTTCGGTTCTTTTACAATTCACGCATTAAATTCGTCGCCACTCTAACTCACATGGACTACCATCGAAACGCGAAAGAGTACAGCATATACAAATACACAAATACATGGACACTACGCCATTGCTCGAACATTCGGATCTTCGAGTATTACGACATGGCTCAATGAGACAACAGGGAAAAAAAAGAAAGACAGAGACATCAAGTGTAGCTTGATATAGGATATCTTTTTGTCTTCTTTTCGCATTTGATTTAGTCAATGGCAATGCAATGTCAAGGTTTATTTTAAAGAAATAAGAAGAGAGCACACAACGCATTTATATGCTTGCATAAATATACATTTTTTTAGAAACATTATCTTTTGCATTTTTTAGGTTGTTTTTGTCAAAATCTAAATATGTATGTTTTAAGTTTTATATTTAATTTTTCAATTAATAAAAGTTATTTGATTAATACAACCAGCGACATCTACTCAAAATGAAAATCAATCTAATAATATTGGGCACCTTTTTTATTCATAAATGAAATAACAAAAACATGTGCATCATAATTAATAATTATCGAATTCATTAATTCACAACATTTCATAATTTTTATTTTTATGGTTTTTGTTAGAAATTTCAAGAAAGGGCAATGCAGAAAGTAGTTCGGATTCAAACCACTGAAAATTCTTATAAACAAATATAAAATGACACATTTTTTTTTGGCGAATTATTCAAAATGTTGTGTCAAAAGAACAGTCGTGGCGTTTGATTCTAAGCTGTGAGTCCATTTATTATTTAAATTATATGTATAGTTTCCAATAAAAATTCAAAATTCTAATCGAATTCTATCCACTTGTTTGATTTACTTTCTTTTGACAATATAATGTGAAACTAAATATTTGCCGCATAAATAAAAAAAAATAAAACATTCGTTTTTACTTTATGAATTGTATAACATTTTCAAAATTTATTTGAAATATAATGCGGATATGATTGTTGGAGCATTGTAGAGAAATCATAATTTCCTTTATCGTGCATAAACAGTTATATTGAATTGCCTCAATTCAACAATCAAACTCATTCCAATAAAAATGAGTTTGTCAATCTAATATTAGATCCAATTATCGTATTCAGAAAATCCACAGACTTGCAGTTAACAGCCCAAAATTCGAATTAAAAAAAACGTGCTGGTCCATAATGTGTGGCCTTTAAGACTTGGCCCCTGTAGTTGAGCAGATTTTTGAATTCATATGATATTTCATATATTCAATTGGTACGAATCATAGTCGTTTCTATTCATTCACACCTGAATGTTACACAACCGTAAAAAAGATTGAAAACACATACAAACATCTGCTGAATGTTTCGATTTGAATTGGCAATTATTTTTTGCGATAGCATAAACACAAATGAAATTATTCGTACAAATCAATTTCGGTGTGCCAATTTTTTTGTGAAAATTCTATCAATTCTGTTTAATTGTACATATACCATTGAAGTAATCTCGTTGAAATGTAAAAGTTATTATTCAAAAAATAAAAAATATATGTGTTTTCATTGAAAACCTTATTTTCTTATAAATATGATCAACGTCCTGTTATTTATAAATTATTTTGAATTTCTTCTTTACCAAAAAAAAAACCATCGACTCTTTCATTCCATTGAGCTGTCTTTATTTAATAAATTTGAATGGAATTTACAAGGTTGAATATCCAACAAAAAATGTTTGTGTGTAAAACAAATGTAAATCGATTGTAAATAATTTTCTTGTTCTTTTTTTTTAAAAGAATTTATATATGTTAAGATGTTGTGTATGTTTTAAGAAAAATGTTTCATTTTTCATTTCAATTTTGTTGTGTAAATTTATGTTTGAACTGTAGTTCATTGAAAATCAGTTAAAAAAAAACTAAGCTTCCGAGAACGATTAGATCGTTGTTCAGCTTAAATTTGACTACATTTTGATTTTGTGCATTCATTATAATGTCTCAATTTAATTTAAAAATGACGGAAAAGCAAATGTTCAATTATTTACTCAACCGATAGCGTGACCTTGTGAATTCAGAGAAAAAAACAAAATTTATGCAACGGTAATTTCCGAGGCGGTTGTCTTAATCACAGGTGAATTTGTGGTGGCATCAGTTTCTGTTGTTGCCTCGTTTAGGCTTCGGTTAAGTTGTTTTGTACTGAAGCGTCTTCGTGAACGACGGTTACGGCGTGGCGAACGTGTAGCCGATTCAGGTGTACTTTGAACATCGTTATTATTGTTATTTTCAATGGCATGCTTTTTGTCCGAATTTTCACCTTTACGAGATCGACGATTTTCACGTGGCGACGATCCCTTTCTAAACGATCGACGACGGCCTCCATTCGATTTCGGTGGTGGAACAATTGCTTCTTTATCTGGATCAAAGTAGCTATCCAAAATATCGACCAATTCACCGCGATTTTCTTCCTTAATATCATCCAATTTTTCAATGATCTCAGTCAAACCGTCCTAAAGAAATGACAAAAATATTTGTTAAATGATTCAATTATTGATAATTACTGTCGAATTTCTATCGTCAATTTACAAAATATTTGGGAGAAAAATTGTGGAAAAAAAAAATCATAAAAATTATTGAACTTATTTAAAACGGCTCACCTTTTTCTTTTCCTTCCAAATGTCTTCTAAGCTTTTTAGGTCGAAACCTTTTTCAGCCAAGACACGACGAAATGTGACTGCTTTGTAACGGTGGTAAAGATTGGTTTTGAAAAAATTAACGAAGATTGGACGAAATGATGATTGTAAATCGATGCATTTATTCTGATTTGTCAACTCGTTGATATCAACATTAACCGAATGAACAAATCCTTGAATCAAATCAACGATTTGACCATTAATGTTATCCGTTTCGTTTGTGCCTGCATCTAGAAATTGTACAGACATGTATAGTATGTATATGATAATAACTGTGCATTGGTGATGTGATTCAACATAACCTCAATGTGACTTACCTTTGCCCATTTGCTCAAGCAATTTGTAAGCAAAACGAGCACGTACCATGGCATTTCCTTCGAAATACTTTTCCAATTCTTCTTGTTTCAATTGTAATTTGGTTTGTTCGCGAATTGCTTCGATTTTTGTGGCATCGCTTTTCACTTCAGCCATCGAATGACCATCGACGAATCCAACGACAATTTGTGAAAAACGTTCAACCAAATCGTATTTTTTCAATGCTTCCAACAGCATGTACGGAATAAACTTGATGTTTTCATAATAAACCAAAACCACACCTTCGGAACCAACATCGGCCGCCTTACGTTGTTCCAACCATTCCAAAAAGGTTTTCAATGCAACGACCTCGGTTTTACACTTGACTACTTTATTTGTCAATGTGCATTTGAGCATACGGAAAAAACCAACCGTAATTATGCGCAATTGATGTCGTTGTCGCGCAGCTGGATTTAAATTCATCACCGGAATTACATATTGATCGAATTCTTCTTCGGGGCTATAAGCGGCCAAATGAACGATCTTTTGATTAAAAAAAGTAATTATCAATACTGTACCCTTCCGTTATCTTTCTTCGATTTAGCAGCACGTGGTGCGAATGTAAAGTACATTTCAATACCAAAATGACAACCAAAAAAAAAACCCAACAACAACATAAATTTAAAGAGATTGCGTTAAATAGACTTACCTCGTCCAAAATACGCCGACCAGTTGTATCAATATCAATGCCGATGAATGTGTATTTACCCTTTGGGATGGTATTTTCAGCTGGTACTTCGGTAACAGTCATTTTTAACTTAAATAAACGTTAAAAGTATTGAAAATTCCGATGTAGTTGCTTATTCCAATGAAAATCATAAGATTTGTGACAAGACAAAATAAACTATGTCTACTTAAATAGAATTATTGATTTAACGCAAAAAAAAACACTTTATTGTGCACTAAAGTCGAAAACGAATTGTTCCAAAGACTGAAAACTATCAACAACACAATGTGCACTATCGTAACACGTGCTTGGATAGAAAAAACTGCATTTGTTGGACTTGATCGACAAAATTTAACGCAGAAAATTGAAAAAAAATTGATTTGATCAATCGTTTGTACTAGATATTCCAACCGATTTTTTCAAAAAGAGAGTTAATTGTTAAGAATTAAATTAAAAGGTTATGCCGAAAGTGGTGAAACGGTAAAACTGACAGAGTTAAAATTATACATGTTTTTTTTCCTTAAATTTCTTCAAATATGATTTTAAAAAAAATACTGATCAATCGATATAAATGCCTGCAAATAAAATTCTTACCTTTTGCCAAGGAAATCGATTTTCGTTACGATTTGATAATTAATTTAAAATGTGCGTTCGACGCAATTTTACTCAATTTAAAACAATGCGGAATTTAGTCCGTTCGAATGCAACCACTAACCTCTCATGAGTGAGTTAGCAAAGTGTAAATGAAAAGAATCACAGCCGAAATAATGAAATCTTATTCAATACATCGGCATATTTAATACAAATGGCAGAGCACATGCAGTTGATTGAAGTTTATAAGAAGGCGACAAATTCAAATTTATCATCATGCACTGGGCGAATGCACAAACACAAACATAAAGTTTGACTAATGCGATGCTTTCATGCTGCGATTGGGGCGAAATGTATATGTTCGATGTGAATGAGAAGAGATGAACGAATGAAACAAAAAAAAAAAGCAAAAAAAAAACATTGCTACTTCACAGGCATTGAAATTCGCACAAACGCCGTTTATTTCATCGATTATTGACACATTTTTTTCTCGTCTCATTTAAAACATTTGATATTGCTAGTATATTCTTATTTGGCTTTTGAACAGTTTTGTGTTGACTCCAGTATCAATGATATGAATTTTTCATCTTTCGATGAAAAAAGAGGAATGCCAGAACATTTTCCGAACGAATTTTTTCTCGAACGAAACATTTTCAAAGAATTCGAGGAATTTTATTGGAAAATGTTTTGAAATTTTTGGAAAAAAGTCGGGAAAAACATTTACTTTTAATATTTATTAGTGTGATGGTTGATTCGCATCAAAAATTTTCTATCAATGTGAATCTTTACGTCTAACTTGAACTAAATCCACTTGATATTTGGTAGCTCATCAAGTAGTAAATGAATTAAATCTTTTGATACAATGAAATTAATGAAAAAAATTGCTTGAAAATGATTCCTTGATAACACATAGAAAACGAATGCAAATATTCACAATTCAATTATTAATTCAACGAAGTCTCAGTTGTATATTTTTTTGCTATTTTGATTTGGTGACTGAAATTGTATCTGCACACCTTTAACACTTTCGTAAAGATACATATGAGTAATTAAAATGTTTGTATGATTTTATTTTCATTTTTTGTCCATTTTATTGCTGTTCAAGAAATTGAATCGCTATATCAATTAGAAGATCTTTTCTCGAAAAATGTAAACGTATCCGTTGAAAGAAAGTAAGAACGTTTTTGTAATCGTTTAAAAGCAGAAAAAAAATAAAATGCTTATCACTAAAATTCGATTAAAATACGTTTGTACAAGCAAACCCAACGGAATGAAATGTTCAAATAAGAAATAGCTTTGAAAGATTTCGAAGAGATGGCGCCCATAATATTTGATGCAGTGGTAAAATAATTACACAAAACATCAATGTAATATGGACAAGAATCCGAGAGGGGGACAGCGAACATATGACATCTCGAATATTATTTTCGTAAGTTTCAGTGCACACGAATATGAATGTTGACAATATCAAATCATCACACAGTTCAAGATAAACTTTCATTGTGAGTAGTGAACTAATTGTTTTAAAAAAGGATTCAATTGCAGCGCGAACAAAAAAAATTGTTGTTTAAAACAAAAACACAGACTAAGAGTGTGTAAAAAAAAGAAGTGAAAAACTGTCGAAACTCGGTATTCACAACGAAGTGGCTTATTTTTCTTCGGTCGTTCGTTCACCACACATTTTTTCTTGGTGAATGCGACGACAAAGGCAAAGCTTATATTCAGAGAATAAATGTGAAAACAATATTTGTTTTTTGTTAAATCATGTAAATATTTTCATATGCATCCATAACCAAAGACATTCTATCATTATTTGATGCTCATCATTTCATGTAGATGAGATAAATTGATCGTAATCTCAGTTTGTCTTTCACTATCTCTCTGATTTTCTCCTATCGATGAAAATTCTCTTTTTAACGTTTTTTTAATTTGGCCGATTTTTTTTTTTCATTTCGTCCACTAGTCGACTACGCCATTCAATCGTGCGATCGCTACGAAATCGAAACGAACGCATAAAAAAGATAAATTTGTTCACAGAGAGAGAGAGAGAGAGCATACTGTCGAACTTTGATCAAACGAATACCGAAGACAACAACAATATAAATAGAATGAAAAGTTCATTTATTTTGTTATTTTTATAGCGACGATCAAGATTGGTGCGTAACGAAAAGCAAAGACATAAACTAAGAAATATTCATAAACAATATAATACAATATCTCGAAGTAACTATGCGATTGTGGCGTGTTTTTCTTACGGCCAAACCAAATTACGCGAATGAACAGTCGATGACAACATAATATTATACAGTACAGTAAATATTATAATAAATTACGAAAAAAGGAAAGCACACGAAGTAATAATATACAAAATAAAACCGAATCGTGTGATTCAGAAAGAATATGTACACCAATTATTTGAAATTGGCATTCAAATCAATAGTGCATTATTAAGACAAAAACAAAACGTGAACGATAATAATAATCATTTGCTTTGATGTTAACATTGTTTTGAATCCATTGTGAAACAAAATTGAATTCGGTTACTTTTCGATAGACAAAATAAAACTCTCTTCGTATTTGATATAACACAAATAACAAACAAATATAAGAAGAAAATGTCACGTGATATATTTTCTATGGTATCGTCAGAGAGTGACGGAAGAAATGATCAGCAAGCGGCCGCTGCGACCAGTGAGCGAATCAGTAATCGACAGCGTGATGAATCGACTACAGACACCGCCAACGATCAAAACCAACACATTGAACCAAGCACCGAAGAACACGTTCGTCCTTTTATCAAAGAACGAGTATACTATGCCGCCAAAGATGGTCTACCAATTGCACTCACCTCATTGTTATCGAGCGTTGAAAATGAATCGACAAAAAATGCCTATATCAATCAGGTGAGTCTAATAACAGTTATTTAAAATGCTTCTTAAATAAACGAAATTCAACTCTCTTACTATATATGGAATCATTGGTACACTCTCATTGACCATGGCATGATTGCATGGCATTTTGTTGGATTTTAATGGGTTGCAAAATATTTTTGCGTCACCATCATTGAGACATTCAACTCGATGATCACAGACAAAAAAAAAACAAATACTATCGTCAACAAATAAGATAGCGAAATAGTAAATTAAATTCGAAGATTTGGATTTTTTTTTTAACTTTTTGTAATTTATGCCACGCTCTTTCCACGAGCCACGCTCTTTCATATATATTTTTTCCTCATCTCTGTGAATATTTCATATATTTGTTTCATGACACATCTTATGAGAGGAAAAACACAGCAACAACAACAATAAATCGCTTTTCTCTACTCATCCAAATCCTTTTTTGCTGACGCGCGATTTCTTGATTTAGTTACAAAGTAACAGTTGTGTATATGCAAACACGTTCATTCACGCACACTCGAGCCCGTATATGAGCCTTCTGAAAATCAATTATAAATTGATGCAAATGCTCAGGCAGCAAAAGCGATTTGATTCATTAGTATTAAACGCAAAAAACGAAAAGACGTAGAGAGAAAGACGAAAAAAAACATTGTTCGAAGAAAGAAATAGACGTGAAATAGTTAATTTTAGATGAGTTTTCGTCTATTTATTTTTATTTACAAAACGCTTAGTCGGAATCGATACAGAGTGTGAGACTCAAAGCAATATATAAAACACAGATCACATGAATTTATTAAAAGTCACGATGAAAAATGTTCCAAATATGTTCGGACACATATATTTTTTGTGTGTTGACCTTCAACGGTGTCCGGATCGCTTATATTTCCAAATTCCGACTGAATTAAATCGTCAAAGTAATCATTATGATAGCCGAATAAATATTTTAATAAACGGTCCAAATGCAAACCACATAAAATGAAACGGAATTGATCATGATCGCAAAATTTCCAAGTTCAACATTGTCAACCTTGAATATGGCGTCTACAAAGCTTTAAGTGTCAAGACTTATTATGAGGTTCAAACTAGAGTGGCGTCTTAATTTTGGATCATCGCCGCAAAGAAGAGGCACAGGGCGGGGGGGAAATGAGTGCCATGCTGGTTACTCATGTGATTCATTCTATTGGCAGAGCGAAAAAACAAATGCTGTGTAATTTGGGTGGGGAGTGTACTGCAGTTGGTGTATGCATTTCAAAAGTACTAGACATATGAGCCAGAGAACGGTATGACAATTGCACAATGTAATGAACGTTCAAGTGGCATTTTACAACATTGCTAAGTCTTTGTTGTTGATATAATCGTTTTCACACAACGAACGCATCGTTGTTGTCACAATTGTCATATGCGTTCGCCATATTTTAATAGCATTTCAAGCGTTGAATCACCAATATATATATTAATTTTTATATCAAAGTCATAACTAAAATCATGAAGAAGTGCTCAGAAGTGCAAAAAGAGACGATATTATCATGCGAGGCATAAAAAAGCGGCATGCATGAGGAAAATGGGAAAAGTTAAGATTTCATTTCTATACTCATTCAATCGAATTTCAAGTAATGATGCAATTTTTTGGTGCCGAAAGTCAGGATTTTTTTTATGTGTGAATTTTTTAAAATTTGATTACACATACATATATAATGACAGTAACAATTTTCCAATGTGTTGGAAGGAATGCTTGTAATGTAATAAGAATAAAAAATTATTTTTTCCATTAATAGAATTATGATTCATCGTTCTAAAATTAATCATTTGGCTACCGACAAAATGATAGTGATAAATAAAACAACATTCCAGCCATAAATAATTTATCAATTGTTCATAAATCTTATCTGCAATGTGCACACATCATACAGATTTTGTTGTAAAGTATGTTCAAACAGTAATAAACAAGAGCCGAGTTCAAATAGTACAGTGCTGTTTGTCACACAGAAACTCTTGTCATCCAAACGTCTTTATAACACACTGGCACTTTGAACTCATTTGCTCTCTGTCAATCAATTATCTATTTCAAACACCAAAAATATCAAAATCTAAAATATTTGGATGATAAGCGGCGGAGCTTTTGTGAACTGCAACGAATCATTCCATTGTACATGTGTGTGTGAGTGTGTTTTTCTGTGAATGCTTTGGAAATAATAGAAGACGAATGATGTCGGATATAAATTGAATTTTCGTTCAATCGAAAAATGTTGTGCATTTTTTTGCAAAATGGGAAGATTGATTGAGTAGAGCAAATGTGATAGAGTAAACTAATTTCAGGTAATCACAATGGAGATCCAGTGCATTGGGTACCTTTGTACTCGATTTGTCGTGATTTTTATTCATGATTTTACGTTACACCGGTAGAGTTTATTTGTGCGTAATTCGCATAAAAAATCTATGTGATAAAATAATATCAGAAAAAAAATGTTTGAACAAAGAAAACTCAGCGGCAGTATAATCGGTTTCTTGTATAATGCGACATTGGCCAGGGTAATGACATGGGCATATTGATGTGTGTGTGTGATTCAAAATGAGCTTGTACGCTTATTGTCGCCAAAAAAACACAATAGTAACGAAAGCAATGTGTCACAACTACACATTTGATACATTGTGCATATAATGCCGCATACATGCACGTCCCTTCGTCCATCTTCATTCGATATCCTTTGATTCGATATCCAAGTGAATTTTATTTTAGAATATATACAAAATGTCAATGTTGTGTTTTCATTAAGTTGTCAATTGACCGATAAAATCAAATTGATGGCTTTGCACCGTTTGATTGATGATTAAATTGGTTTAAAAAAAAATCGGACAATCGAATCTGTAGCAGCATTTGTAGTCACGTTTGCTCTGATCGATGTACAACCATATTATCCCAAACGGGACCATATCGTCAAATACAAAAGTAAACAAATCAAATGCATATTCGGTGAAATAAGTAAAACCATTTGTAATGACAACAAAAATTTGTAATTTATTGCAAGAAACACATATTCCACACATTAACCTATTTGTAGGTTATTACAATTTACAGTAGAATAAGAATATGAAATACGTACGTTCATTCTCCAAACAAAACGAACAATTTTGGACTGCATGAACAAAGGTCTATTTCCCCGCCACGATCGAACTCTTTATCAAAACATCATATAAATGCAATAAATTTTAGTAGTGTGCAATGCATTTACTTCATCATTTTTTTTTCTCTCACTGTAAATGAATATAATGTACGCGTATATGTTTTAATGAATGCGACAATGCAGGCAGCGTTAGCCTCAAAGCACAAACAAATTGAATTATTGCTTGAACTGAATCAAATTAAAAATAGCCAAATTCGCATTTCTTCGATGTATTTCATTTGTTTTTCGTTATATCCCTACTATATTTTTTTCCTCTCACGCTCGATTCATTTCGTATCGCCGATATGTGCAGCGCACAGCGGGTATTTGTTATTGTTTCGCCGTCAGTTTCGATCATATCAGGCACAGAGAAAGAATGAGAAAGGAATTCTCGTTGAGAGACGGAGAGAGGGAAGAAAGAGATAGGAAGCGATATGCATTTGTATGCACGTCATGAAAATGGAAATGCCATTTTATGTGTTCCAAAGTGCATGTACTTCAATTCGAAAAATGTTTGAAAACGATTTAAAGCCATTTCTTTGTCCATTTGTATTTGTGCATTTGTGTGATTATAGAAGCGCGTGGTAGGGAAATGATTTCAATGCATGAGACAATTTTTGGCGTCGCAAACAAACACAACAAGATTGTTTGCGTCGCGCGCTATAGATCGAAATGAAAGAGAAATAACCGTGATTTATTTTACGATGGGTCTCAACGAACGTTATTTGTGCACAAATCAACATATAACAACACACAGTAATATAGAATTCGGTTCGTTATTCAGTGCAACAAAACGGCCATTACTCATATGTATGCGATGTGTAGTACAGCATTGGTATCGCATCATCCCGAATAACTCACCGCACACCCGCTCACTGTTTAAAATTTCATCTATCTCGAATATATGTAAATTGAAACGCAAAACTTTTTGTTACTACTTTCACGAAAATTACCATGGGCTATATTTAGCCAAACTCAAATTCTGCACATGAGAACAACTAGGGGGTGGTCACAACATTCAACATTTATTTTACATTCAAAACCATTTTTAATAAAAGATTCGTAAAAGATGAAACATTTTTTGAATTTTTTTTTTGATTTTGATCGATATACATAAATTCGAAAAATGAATGCCGGAACATTTTTCGTAAAGTACTTTCTCCCAAACGAACGTTTTCCTGAAAATTTGGAAATTCTTCTTGCAAAAATTCCTGATTTTCCAGAAGAATTCCTCGAATTTTCAAGAAAATGTTCGTTTGAGCAACGTTCGAAAAAAAAATCGAATTTCTTTGGATTTTTTTAAAGTTAAAAAAAAGTGCAAGTAATTTTTGTTGGGGGAAAACCAGTCAAGCAAAATGTAAGACGCCATTTTTGTATAAAGAAAGTAATAAAACTTAATCGAAATGTGCCAGAGATAAATAAAAGAAAGTCTTATAATGCGGAATTTTTCACAAAATCATGAGTTCCGTTTATTTAGTGCGCAATACTCATATGGCGCGTCGTCCATCCATAGAAATGACGACTAAATCTCGATGTGAAAATCGCCGATATTCGATGTAAAAATTATTTACGCGTCAGCAAAAAGTGCGTGCGCGAATGCGCGTCTAAGCACGTTTTTTCGTTAAGATCGTAAAATGTCAATAAAGCAACAAGAATGAAAAATCTTTATTTATGTGTATTTGTGGCATTGAATGTGTCGAATGGAATGCCTTACGGTACAACACAATCAGCTGAAAACTCAATTCATGCTCACTGTATTTAAAGATTTTAAAAATAGAATGGACCGACTTTTACCGTTTCGAAGATCATCATTTATTTATTTTCATTTATTTCATGCTGTTGTTGTTTTTGTCGTCGTCGTTTACTCGATTTTTTTACTATCGCCAAATTGCTCTATTCAAATAGCGTTTTAAATTATGAGCAAAGCATTTGTATGAGTGACGATGACCATGTTAACATATCCAGTTGATTAGTAAATCGTTAAACTTTAACTGTAATCTGTCATCGAATGTTTATTTCTCTTTTTCTTTCATTTAATTTAATTACTAAGAAAATGAAATTTATCATATGATCAAATTCAATTTGATCGGCGATGGAAAACTTTTATTTTAATCTTCTTTTGTTTTCGATTCCTCCTTTCTATTCACTCATCGAAGCAGATAGTCGAAGAAGATGGCCAATCGTTTACACCATTAGTGATAGCAGCACGAAACGGTCGTTACAAAGTAGTTAAAACGATTTTAAATAATTTCAAGCCAAAAATTGAACAAGAATGTGTGGTCAAGTTTGACGGTCACATTGTGCATGGAGCAACGGCTCTTTGGTGTGCAGCTGGTTCTGGACATCTTAACGTAATCAAATTGCTTATTCAATATGGTGCTAATGTAAATCACAAAACCAAAACACACTCAACTCCATTGCGGGCTGCCTGTTTCGATGGTAAGTTTATTTTATGTTATCCTTGTAACCCTTACACAATTAATCAATTTGATGGCGTTGCATATTTCGTTTTATTTCAAGGCGAATACGTTTTGTTCCGAACGAGCAAAAAAGGCTAAGAAGCCAACAAAAACAAATATGTCACATGAAAAGCACACTCTCCTGAGTCGTATGAATTTTAGCGTGTGCAATTTTAAATAAAGGCGCATTAATACGAAATAGAAAATTAATTTCAAGGAAACAGGAAAAAAACACACAATTAAAATTCAGCGATGCGCAAAATTTCACACGATTTGTTTTTTTTTTTTTTTTTGTTTTCATTTAAATTCGTTTAAACAAAGGAAAAACAATCGAAGAAGAAAAAAAAGTGAATTTATCTTTGTGACAAGAAATTATGCATGAGAGCGAGTGATAAAGAGAAAAACAAGAAATTATTCTCATAACATTAAATAGCACGCATGCTATTTTCGGTTAATTTACATTGTATATGTAAACTTTTTGATACGTATACGCGGTATTATTGTCGTTTGGCATCGAACAAAAGCAAATGACACACGTAAATTACCAAGAAATGACATTCTTCCATTTTACTTTTGGGATATTCTATTTTGATAATACGATAAAGCAGAATAACTAACTTTTCACATTGACGATTAAGAGAGGAATGTTATTTAGCATTTTTTTTTTTTGTATGTGTGACTGTCTGGTTTCTTCTTTTTTTCGTTTCACTCGAATTCACTTAAACATTTGAATGATCTAGTCATATGCTAATACATAACCGAAATTCTTACACACATTTCTTATTGTTGTTGCTCACTTTATTTCTTTTTTCACTTTATATTCCACAGGACATTTAGATATAGTAAAATATTTGGTGGCTCATAACGCTGAAATAAATCTAGCAAATGTGTATAATAACACATGTCTGATGATATCAGCGTACAAAGGTCATACGGATGTTGTTGAATTTCTATTGAGCAATGGTGCTGATCCTGATCAACAAGCTCTTTGTGGTGCGACCGCTTTGCATTATGCAGCTGAATGTGGTCATGTGGATATCTGTGCGTCACTACTTGACTATGGTGCAACGCTCAAACGTAATGAATTCGATATGACAGCTGTGACAACGGCTGCCGAACGAACCAGAGAATTAGTTGTAGAAATGTTTTATGATCGACCCGGTTTATTGACAAAGGAAGAGGTAAAAACAGTTTGTAATCTGCTTAAAGTATTAAACGATTTCATATACATGCATATGTGCGGGAAGAAGCTTTTCTCTCCAATTTCTATCAAGGATCTCTCAAAAACATATTCATTTGTATGTCGAAGAGCGAAAAACATTTATATGCACAAGCAATTCCGAATCAATATAGAATGCAAATTCAATCGTATGCCATATTTGTCGGAGCATGATAGAATGGATGATTCAAGTACACATAAGCTTTTATGAATGCGTTATGATTTCAATTTTGCTCGTTTTTTTGGTCTATTTTCCAGAAAATAGACGCATTAGAGTTAATGGGTGCATCATTTGCTAACGACAAAGATAATTATAGTCTTAACAAAGCTTACCATTATTTGCTATTAGCCATGGAGTCAAGGTATTGTATATTGATCACCTTTTTTTGCCAACACTGACACCAATGACATGTCAATTTCATTTATTGTACTTTTTCTATTCTTCTCGTCATGACATCATCGCTCTTTCTTCGGCGCTTTGTTATACAATCGCAAATGTTTTAGATATGAAGATCCAAAGAATGTGATTCGGAAAAAAAATATTGCACCAATACCGGCATATGAGAATTGGATTGAAAGCCAAACCGTACAGGATTTACAAGCTATCCGATATAATCACAATTCAATTCATATGGAATCATTAACAATACGTGAACGTATTCTAACAACCAAATGTCCCGATGTGGCTCATCCAATTGTATTTCGTGGTGCAGTTTGCGCCGATAATGGCAGATTTGATAGGTGCGAAAGTTTATGGTTACATGCGCTTGGACTTCGGCAAAACAACAACGTAAGTATAACGGTCGTAATTAATAGTCAAATGGACGTCGTTCTCTGAAGATAATGTTCAAAATGTGGCCACATGAATGCAACGATAAAAAATGACACTTTTAATTTGAGGAAAATGGTCAACAATTTTATGGCCAAATTAAGAGTTCTCTTTTACTTAAGATTCAGAGTTGCACAGAAAATCGCCGATAAATTGTGACACACCCAACATACTTTCTGAATTTGAAGATATTTAAGAATTAAGAATTAAGGGGGTAATTGTAAAAAAGCAGAATAAGCTTAGTATCAACTGCAAATCCCAAATAATTGAAGAGAGGTTTCTGAATTCACTAGAATCAAAATCGTTCATGGGCGCGAATTGAATTTTTGTGGAAAAAGAAGGGTAACACATCGCCAGAAGGAGTAATCAGAATCCTCGGACCCTCTTCAGTCAGAAAGTATGTCACTCAAACTAGAGTATGAATTATCTTTATTGAACGACGTAATTCAACGGAAAATTAGCAAAACAACATAATGAAATAGATGGGCATAATGACTTTAATTTTTTTCAATAACTTTAGTTATCTGTACAACGAGACCTCTTACGGTTTGCGCAAGTGTTTTCTCAGATGATACATGTTTCGGTTCCTCTGCGTATCCAAAATGTAAGTACATTTAAATACGTGAAAATATCTTATTTAAATTTCTTGTGACATGATTTCTTTGGGGTTTTTTGTGTATATTTTTCTATAGATTTTGGCTGTATTAGCTGCATGCATACGCGAACTAAAAGTAAATAAAGAAAAATTTACGAATCCCGGTCCAAAAGATGATCTCGAAATTGTTATGGAAGAATTCGAAATGAACATCATCACCGCATTGTATCTATGTACCATACTCACAAAACTATTGAAAATGGATGCAAAAATAACTGTAGATGATCGTAAAAAGTCTGGCCATTTAGTTTATATGCTGAACAAAATGAATTTGAAATTACGCGATGGTCAAACGCTCCTTCACTTGGCTGTGAATGGTGTAATGTCTGTTGATGATTTTCACACGAGTGATGTGTGCCGTTTTCCGTGTGTCGACACCGTTCGATTGTTGTTGGATTGTGGTGCATCAACGACCGTATTAGATTGTGGCCGTAATTCACCATTACATACGCTAACGGCAACCGTAAGTTAAACATTATTGAAAATTAGTTTTCTTATTCAATGATGATATTTTTTTTATGGCCGCTATATGTGATGATGTTTTTTTCTCTTTTTTTGTGTGTTTACAGTTAAGCTTTCGTATGCCTGACCCGCAAGTCGACATCGATACCATCAAAGAAATTACAGATATGTTCATTGAAGCTGGTATCCATATGGATGCGGTTAATGTTGAAGGACTAACTGCTGCCCAAATTTGTACTTCACGTAAGCCTCTGAATTTGCAAAATATTTCGCATTATTTGGCGGCCCCTTATTTATCAATCATTTTGCATCTATCTTTTATGATACATTCAATTTATCGATCTTTTTTTTTTAATTAATTTTCAGCATTCATCCAAGTGCTGTTACGACGATACGAATTTAACGAAGTTAGTTTACGATGTATTGCTTCAAGATGCATTGCACAACACAAAATACCATATAGAGGCATTGTACCCAAGCAGCTTGAAATGTATATTGAAATGCATAGCTCCGAAAAACTACACACCTAATGTGCACGTCACCAAACGTTCTCTCTACATCTCTACATTATCATCATGACACATATGTCGCATCGTGATCATACATTCACACGCAAACATACTCAAGTCATGGAAAGGAGAAGTGATATCAATGAAATAATATTATGTAAATAATAAAATCGTACCTATATTTATTAAATTACCAATTATATTTTGTCTAATTTAACGATGAATATGCGTTCAAGTCTTCGTTTGAATTAATTTTTTAAAAAATTAACCACCCACTTTATGAAAATATCACGAAAAATGTGTTTGATCAAAGGTTAGCGAAGGAGAAAAATAAATTGTTAGAAAATGCTATGGCGTGTAGATTATGCTAGGCAGCGGCCAACTTATAATCAACATTTTACTTTATTGAGTTCAATGTAGCGATTGCAATGCATATGTAAACATCCAATCAGGCATTCATTTGCTGCTTCATCTGTACCGTTAGTGGACATTTTAAGATGATTTTTTTAAGAAGGTGATTTATATTTTTTAAACTTTTAGCTTTAACAATAACATTGATCAAATTTAAGGTGTTATCTATCTTTCGATATGCAATATTTTAATTTTCGTTTTCGCAAGATTTTTTAAAAATCGAACATCAACTTGATTAATTTTGCGTATAAAATGTTTTTTTTTGGGTGACAAGTCACATCCATTCATTTATTTATATATGGTATTAAATAGACTGCGTCAGTGGCACAAATGTAAGTCGAAAATCAATTATTTTCTATCAACGTCGTAATTGACGTGTAAAATAAAATAAGTTTTTCCAAACAATTGAAGACCGAATCGACAACAATGAGCAATGCCAATAAAAGTTTTAAAAAACAACAATTCGGTCATTTAGTGTAATTTATTTATTAATTTCTTCAATTGTGATAAAGAAAACACATTAAATATGTATATAAACAATTCATCTATTCAAAGATAACTAAACTATTCGGCGGGCCATATCGAAAGCAAAAAAACAACAGTTGACGAAATTATCTATTTACTCGTAGTAATTGGCATACCCGAAATATGTGAAAAGCAAATTTGTATTATATGATATTTATTTTTTGAGAAATAAACATTTTATATCCAAAAGATCAAGAATTAAGTGCATTTTTATTATAACATAGAAACCATGGTTTTTGTCGTTAACAAAAATTTGATTCAGAGCACCCTGTTCGTTGGAAAGGTAAGTGATTTTTTTTTATATTTAACCATTTGGGGATTTGTCAAAGCACGGCAGTGACAAAAAAAACGACCGAAGCGCTCGCATGGTTGCCAGATGAACTATAGCAACCCTATTGGTTGCTGGTACAAAGTTGTGTCATTATTGAGCACAAATTTGTGCCATTATTCAATGATGCGTTGCCCAACTGTCACTACTGCCATGCTTTGGGATTTGTTGTTCTTCTGAAGAGAGACAGAATATTTTCAACTATCAATTGTGCCAGTACTTGCTTATATTCTTTCAATATAGGTCAATTCAACAACAACAACTGATGCAGGTCAGCCTTCTTGATGCGCAGTAATCACAGCTGAGAATATCAGAAATCCAAAAATATACAGAATTTTTAAGACTCGCCATTAAATACAATCATCTCCAACCATAATGGCCATGGTAAATCGGACCATAATGTACACATTTCTTGTAGAATCACAAATGAATAAATTGATCATCTAGATGGAATCGTCTCATCTCGGTGATTGGGCCTGTCCAATTTTGTTCACTTTTGAGAATTTTTATTGTGTTTCCTATGTCGAATTGTTTTGATTGTTTTCTGAAATGCCATTCGTTTTAAAAGCTGGATTATGAACAAAAAATTTTAGGTTGGTTAGTAACAATTTTTGTTATACATTTTTGTGGAAGTATTTAAACAGATGATTGTTCAATTTTAAACACCATAAAGCGTTGATATGTTTACACGATATAATCATTATTACCAGTAATTATTATCAGGGCGTCGATTTCAAGTCTTATAGGATTTAAAGTAAATTGTCTTCAAAGTATTGTTCGCCAGTTTACTTCGAAAATTCAGACGATGAGCTTGTTGAAGAGTACAATGTGTCGCATCCTAACCTCAGTCGTTTTCTTATCCTTAGTGATTTCAATACTGTGCAGCTATTCAATGGCACAAGGTGGATCCGAAAACAATAGCGAAAGTGTAAGGTTTTATTTTTATTTTTATATTGTATTCAAGCTCAATCAAACAAAATGTCACATAAGCGATTTCAATGATATATAAAGTAAAGTTAAGCAATGTCTTCATTTTTTGTTGTGCGAACGATGGGAAAGAAAAAGGCTCATTTAAAGCTAACTTTTCCGAATGGAAACTGAAATTTAGGGAATAAATGGAAACTATGGTCTAGTTTGTCTTTTAATTATGAATCATATTTTCTTACAATTGAAATCAAAAATAGGGGTATCCCACATACAACATTTTCACTTTTTGTCTCAAACGCAAACATTTTATGCTTTTTTTCCTTGATTCATTTTTTCCTTAAAATTGAATGAATATTGGTGAGTTTTCTATTTTGGCCGGTTGATTTTATGCCATAATTTCACGTATATTTTTATCGTGAACCAAAATAAAAGTAAAATTAAACCCCATATACAATATTCAATTTATACAATAGTTTTGTAAGAAACAGTGAGATTTTATGAACGACTCTAAGGTATAGAAATTTATGAGTCACGACAGTTGTTGGACACGCAATCATGAGTATATGTGATAATAAACAACCGAATAAAATTGTATCACATTTTATTTACGTGATTTCGCTATTAATAAGAATATCTGAATTTAGCCAGTGACCGATTGAATAAATAAGAAGCTCTTGAATAGAAAAACTAAAATTTTAGTACAATATTCAAGCATTGTTCCTAAAAGCAATGTTTTTCTTTAGAAAAAAACACGTACTAATATTGTAGATAAGATAACACAGAAAAATAGCAACGAAAAGATAAATGAAACTTGTCGAATTTTTCATTGAATAAAATCTCATAAAGATCCGTAAAGATCAAATATAATCAAAATTTGAATTATTATTGCCTAGGGGGTAGACACGCAATCCAAAAGAACAAATCTATACGAAAAAAATAAATCTCTTTAAATTATTGCGAGTAAATTATAAATATTTCAAATCATTTTGAATTTTTTCGAATCATTTCAAATCACCGCTTGACAGTTCGTGTGACACTTTGCATTCATGTTATATCAAAAAAAAAATCAAGTTAAAGAATAAAAATACAAAGAGATTTAATATTTTCGAAATGTGTTTTATAAACGAAATATACTTGATTTTTTTAATTGAAAAAAGGTTTTTGCCTGCTTAAAAAAAACAAATATTGATATAGAATTCTATGCTTTGTTTTAGTATTGTAAAGTCACTTGTCAAATAGATTCAAATTATTCAAATCACAAATGAACTATAACGAATCATTTGAATCATGTCTACCCCCTTGATTATTGCGTACTACTAATCCATTGTTTGACATTAAAAAACACATAAATGTATATGATTCTAGCGTGATCATACCGAATGAACAAGACCAAATAATGCCACGAATACTTGAATTTCTCCATGAATAAAATGTAATCATATCTCCATTATATAAGTTTTATCTATAACAATATTTTTTAGAAATGCGCAAACAATACGGAAGTAAATACAAATTGTCATTTCAAAAAAGGTAAAATGGAATATTTCATTTAAATTTATTATTTGTCGGAGTTTTTTGTGTTTTAAATCCGTATTGTTTTCTTTCTTCTTCTCTAAACCAAACAGGATCACCCAAGCCGTCCTTTCCAAATGATGGTAAATTACGTTTGTATTCGATGCGTTTTTGTCCATATTCTCATCGTGCACATCTCGTGTTGAATGCCAAAAATATTTCATATAATATTGCCTACATCAATTTGGTCAATAAACCAGAATGGTTTTATCAAGTGAATCCACGGGGTCAAACACCGACTTTAAATTTAATCAACGAACCAAATCAACCATTTTTAATTGATTCCATGATAATTGTTGAATATTTGGATGAAAAATTTCCTGAATTGAAACTATATCCGTCTGATCCATTGGAAAAAGCACAAACCAAATTGTGGATTAAACGTTTCAACACGCTTGATGTCGCTTACCATAAATTGGCTTATAAGAAAAACGAAGACGATGTTAATGAACAATTGTTGAACACAATCTACGTTGAACTTGAAACCTACGAAACGGAATTGAAAAAACGTGGAACAAACTATTTTGGCGGTGCCACACCGGGGATACTTGATTACGCAATTTGGCCGTGGTTTGAACGATTGGGCATTTTAGAAGCTATCGTTGGAGATAAATACAATTTTGACGATAGATTCTCGAAATTGGTAAGAAATATTACCAACAAAGAATTTCAGAAAATAAATAGAACTAAAATCGCTACATAAATGTATTTTACAAACAGAATATTTTTTTCCCTAACAGAGTCAATGGGTTCAGTTGACCAAAGAAGATTCGGCTGTTAAAAAGCACTTTGTATCAACAGACATTCATACAAAATACACACTTACTGTCCGTGATGGCAATCCAAATTATAATATTTTGGTCTAATAACCTTATAAGGATAAAACCTTCCAATACAAATAAAAACAAGTTGAAGCTCCCTTCGCTCATTTTAATATTGATTATTTGTGTTTTTCTTTTATTTTTTAGTTTGTTTTTAACGAGTTTTAAGCCAGGAAGCTAAACTGCTTCTTCACTGGCAAGATCGGTTCTGGTCCCAATAAAGTCCCACTTAAGTCCCAATTGGTTTTTCATTGGGTTTTTAAGACCCAATAAAGTCCCAATTGCGTTGAGCTATATTTTTTCTAAAAAAAAACAAAAATAATCTATATCTCTCTAGTTACAAAAGCCGTATAGTATCTAAAAAAAACACTGTGTTTAAGTAGACACACATTTGATACTTTGGGAAATTTCCACCAAACTAAAACTTTGTAAAGTTGCGCTCAGCAGCTGAAACTTTGCCATTGATATTTTTTTGACGTAAACTATCGAGGGAAATGGTCAACATATACAAACGGCAATTATACTTGGATACCTTTACTAGTTAGCATATAACTCTAATTATAAGAAGTCAATTTTTTTATGAAATTTGTTTGAAATATAACATTATTTTCTATATTACTAAGCAGAGATAACTAAATACAATATAATTATTCGACTGGCCATTTAAAATAAAAAACAAAAAAAAAACAGTTGACGAAATTGGCATACCCGAAATATTTGAAAAGCTAATTTGTATTATATGATTTTTATTTTTTGAGAAATAAACATTGTATATATTCAAAAGATGAAGAATTAAGCGTAATCTTTTGATATTTCATATACATCATGGTTTTTGTTATTATCAAATTTAAAAATTTGATTATGATCACCGAAAGAGACCGTTCTCTGAAAAGGTAAAATGAAAAGAGTGGTTTTTAACCAATAAAAGCAGATTTGTTGTTTTTCCGAATGTTGAGAGAGGGAGAAAATATGAATGTTCAACTAATTTTAATAAAGTGAAGTAAGTTTATTGGCTGAAAAGTTTTTGAATTACGGAAAAACTTAGTAATTTAAGTTATTACTTGAAGTTGCTAAGGCAATGAATATATACTTAACAATTGCGGTAAAAAGATAGCAAACAGTCAAATATGCACAAAAATGACAACAACTTTCTCTTTCATTTCTTTAACGTGTTTTATGAAGTGTAAACACGAGTACTAGTTGAACGTGGTTTCTGTCATATTCAACTTAATGTCCAGGAAAACAATTTTTCTTATACATAGAAGTATTGGAGTTAACGCCAAAGATTTTGGCAAAACTCCAAAAAGTGACCAAAATTCGATTAAAAAAAGTCTAGTGTAAAAAAAATGGGAAGGGCTTTTTGGATTATTTGTGACGACAAGACCTATGCATTGCATATACATGTCAATATTTCTTTTAACATCAGTAGTGTGATGATGGGGTGATTTTAAAAACTCCATTTTGATATACAACAATACCGAAAATTGTTTTCCGAAGCGGGGTAAAGTCGCCACCCACCAGTTTTTGAAAGCGGCTGTACAAATGAATAATCCTTCATTTCATGTCTTATTTGATGTACCCATATTTTTTGTAGTCTTAATCGATGAATCTCATTGTAGGTCGATTGCAATTTTATTAAATTCTACTGGGAATACATTTTTTAAAAAATCAATCGATTTTGTTTTCAATTTGTTCAAATAAAACTCTGCCAAATGGTCGAAAAGAATTGGAAAATTTGAAATAAAATTTAAAAGCTCAAGTTTTAATAAAATTCTTGTATTTATATTGTGAACGATTATATGAGTAGCCGAGAATGAAAATGAATTGAAGAGTCCTATCTCTTGCTTCCGCTTGTGGAAAGAGCGGAAGATGATATCTCTTGAGTCATTTTCATTCTTAGCGATACATAAATAGCATTGAAGAAACTCATAGTATAAAAATGTGTACCCACCTGGCATGTTGTTTTAAACGTATACCTATCAAAGAAACCCTTTTTTTTCGTTTTATTGTTAACTCATTAACGTCCGGAGAAAACTTTGGTCGAAAAATGACTGGCGGTGTACAGTTTGAAGATGAAAAATTAGGTGAAACTTAAGCGCTGCACAGAGAAATTTAGTCCATTGAGAAATATAGAGAGTAAATACAACGCGAGCAGGTTTTCATTTATGCTTGATGAAATGAATTATTAAACAGTTGGAATGTATTGTTTCAAACTGTTCAGAAATTGAAACGAGTAAAATTTGTTGAATGATGATTTACTTTTATTGGTAAAACTGAAAATACATAAAAAATTTGTGCACAGAAAAAAGTATAATGTTTATGTCTAAACTGAGTATGAAATTTTCACAAATTTTATTTCGTTTTGGTTGGTTGTTGCACAATTCAATTTTCACCTCATATAAAATATACGGTTTTCCGTGTTAAACGTTCGTTATGGTGTTTTAAAATGACGTTGAAAATTACCGAGACTATGTAGCTACTATACGACGCATGAGATAAGTGTTGATGTCACACAACGTGACTGGCTGGTATGTGCCATTTTATTTTAAAAGTGTTTCCAGAGTGTGATTTCAAAATGTATCTCACATTCAAACACTATAACGCACATTAAACGCGAAAAGGAAGCGTATATTTTTCTATGATATCTCCGTTTTCACTTTTTTTTCAATTCGGTTTTTATAATGCTGTATTTGAGCTGTGTTATGTGGAGAGATGTTCAGGTGAAATTTGTTTTCCAAAAGATACTATCTCTTATCAATTGTTTTTAATGCATAATACTTCATAAAAAAGTTACATTATTATTATGTATATTTAAACTTTGTCATTCAAGTTGACTGAAAAAGTTGATTTGTATTTTCTCTGATGGAATTGTTCTTCAAAAAGCCGTTATGGTCTTCTGTTTCAAAAAAAAAAAGAAAAGTGGAGGAATATGTTCTTCGAAGAAATATGAGATGAATGGATACATTGATATTTTCAGCTAAAATTGATTACTACAATAAAAAGTAAATAATGATTTCATCATTCGATGGATATTATTTACTATTTATTATATTAACAGTCAATAAATTGGATTATTATTGTTATTTCAAGTTTATGAAATCTTTGTTTTTATATTTTATTGTGTTTAGCTATGAATTCAAAATGCTATTCAATCTTGATAAACAACGATGAAAGATAAACAACTACATTTCTTATCAATTTCTTTGTGGATTTTTCATTTCACATTCAAATTATTTTGATTTTTTTTTCTATTCTGAATTCGCTGCATCACTACTTACCTCCTATCTAACGAATATTTTTTAGAAGTAATTTGAATAATGTTTTTAAAAAAGGTTTGTATGTCTCTTGTTTTAAGTTTAATCTACTGTTACACGCATAAAATCATTATTTTTAATTAAAATTTTTATTCAATTTTATTTGTGAGTGCATATGTTATATTATGTTATGTTGAATGTTTTCATTCAGTTTCATATTTTTTGCTGTTTTTATTTTCAATTTACAATTTTCTTTTGGCCCTGGTCATTAACATTTTTTCTTTTGGCCCTGTTATAATGTGGAATCTACTAATAAATTTCACACATACATCTCAACTATAACGCCATGTATTGTCTTTTAAAATGTATAGCCGATTACCCTTAGTAACTTGTTTTATGTATTTCCTATCTAATATAAGCTGCGCGCTAATTTAATATCCATGCCATTTCGATACCACTAACGCAGATTAAATTGTTCAGCAAATAGGATTTCAAATATCATTTTATTTTGGTTTTAGATCAGTTCATTTTCTATCCACAACTGTACGTTCTAAATTATCTTAACGGTTTTCAATATAATTGTAGGTCAAAAAAACTATTTTCAAAATGTCAACCGATTTTTGTTTTGTTTATTATTTGTGTGTTAGCTTGAATTGCAAAGTTCTTTGAAAACTTTATTTTAATGAAAAGGTTTTTCCAAAACATATAAAAAAATAGTTGGTTAACCCCTAATGATGTTATTAGCAGTGAATGTATTGTGGCTACAGCTATAGGAGTGCTATTTTCGCAGCTCCTATTCATAGACGCTATTTGTGTGCAACGCATACGGACAGCAGAATATAGACCAAATGATGCGAAAATAGCAGTCCTATATAGGAGTAGCCACAATACATTACTGGTTATTAGGATATTGGGTATTTTTCCCGATATAATTGCGAGCAATAATATAAACACATTTGATCACGAAGTAATTTCTAACAATTACAAGATTAATTTGTTTGTTTTTTTTTTCCTCGTCAAAGAAAGCTTGAGATTAACCCTGTCATTCAAGATTTGTAGACATATGTTCATGGCTCAAACTTTAACAGCTGCCATACACTTCCGACACAATGAGAGCATTTTACTTGAGTTTGCATTGAAAAATAAAAGGAAAGTCAACACTGTATGCAATTTAACACGGTAAAAGTAAGTGAGACACACTTCACTGGGTTCATCTATGGTTTGGATGACTAAAGTTAGCATACAAAAACTCTTTTACTTATACTATTTTCCACCAATTATATTCCATTGCATTTTGACAACAATAAACTGAATTTCATCGTATGATTTCTTCGTGTTTTTCGTCTATGCTGCATACATTCAATCTATTTTGCCCAACACAAAACAAAACAACAAACAACAACAGAGGTCCTTTCCACACATACATATAAAAGCGTACCGTATACATTATATACTATATCTAGTACGTGTATAATTATTTGATCTGGCTGTACTCTTGAGCGCAACAAGTCATACACAATACATTCCATTCTTAATGTATGTAAGTAGCTTTTGTTATCTGATGAGAATTTCCCTCGATGAAAAAAATAACAACAACAAAAGTGGGCGAAAAAAACCTGTTTGTGAGTGGTGCTCGTTTACGAGCAAGAAAACGTAAAAGAAAAACGTAACAAAATAAGTAAAATGCAATTTTTGTGCGGTTTTGTGTATGGCATATAAGAGTATTTGAGTATGTGTTGCAATCTGTCTGGCTTCCGTTTTCTGCGTTAAAAGTAAAGTCGATGTGTACATATATGAATTCGTGGATTCAAACACAATTATCTCGCAAAATGTTCGTGTAGCTCTTGAAAACAGTGCATATATGTACTGAACGTTAATTTAAATTATTTATAAAGAAAGCGAGAAACAGAGGCTATATAATATCTATCCAGTTTCTCGTCCGCTCTTGATTATACTCATTTTACATTTTTCATCTTATAAAATAGTTTCATCTTACAATCAAAAATGATGCCCATGGTTCAACCATCAAATTGAATAATTTTTTACGAAATCGTGCTAAAACTATCCAAATTTCAAATAAAATGGTGCTTATTGCGGTCGTGATGACGGTCACTGTCTGTGCCATAAGTTTTATTGTAATTTCCACTAGCCCCGTTGCAATCGTCACTAGTGGAAAAACTAACATCGCCTGTTCAATGATGTGCATTTTTGCTGAATTGTGTTGCATTGCGGCTGGATGTTCGCCTTTTCGAATTTAAAAATTCCAATAACAAGAGAGTGAGGGAGAGAGAGAGAAAGAACGAGAAATATAAGAAAGAACAAACGTGAATTGAAATTCAATAAAAATATTTATTTTCGTTATAATATTCAATTTGGTCGGAAAAATAATAAGTGGCAGCGTATAATATGTATAAGATTTGCTGTCATTGATTTCTAATGTTGACTTTTAATTCATTTTTTTTTTCCAAATCTCATTAACCCAATAAAAATATGCAATCGAGCGTATTGCAAACACGAACGAACAACATGTATGTGCGTATTCAAGAGCATCCTGAATACAATTGAAGTGGAAATGCACTCGATTGCTTAGACTTCATTCAATTTCAAGCATTTTCGTCATTTTTTTTCTTACCCATCATACGAACTAAAATCGTGACAAAAATGCAATACGAACAAATCTTAAAGCATAATCATGTTCACATTTCCACAGATTTGTTTGTATTTCCTGTTTGTTCAGGAGAGTGAAATAGAGGAACTGAAATGTTTGCCACCCAACACTATTGAGACACGAATTACTACGCCAATGAAAATAATTTCGAATACATACCACTGATAATGTGTGCATAAACACTCGCTGCTTGTGCAATTACGTGTGCACACGTGTAGTTACCTAGAATATTGAATATCTTAATGAAAAAATTGATGAAAAAAAAAATCGATGTGTAGTTACCACTATCGCTTTGTACGGCTTGACGAATTTTCAGCCTGTTTACGAGGAATTTTGCCATTGATTGAACGCATTATAGATGAAATGAAAACAAACATTAGTGTTCCGCACAAATACAGCGAATGGGCCACTTCAAACAATAAAATGCAAAAGATGAACAATGGTTCGATTTCACATACCTTGATATTAAACCATCGGCCCAGTCTGTATCCACAGTTATTCGTTGCACATTCTCTGAATAAATGTCATTCTCTTGTGTGATTAAATCAATGATTTCATTGCCTACAAATGAACAATGAAAAAGAATCAAATATCATAAAATTGTTTAGTTTACTATGCTAAGGAATTGTTCATTTTATCGATTTTATCTTAGGCTTGTCGGATTTTCTCTCTGGCCCTTTTTGGTTCAGTACTATAATTCACTTCAGCCACTGACACTGTAACTATAATTTGAAAATAACATGTCGCATTTGAAGTAAAAATCCACAAAGATTTCAAATTATGGCAATGAAAATACAAATTATGGCATTGTACAAAACAAAAAATCCCGGAGAGAAACAAAATCCAGCAAGCCTATTATTATATTAGCCGGAAATTTATTTTAACTTGCCTTTGTACCAAAATATGGTTCCCAGTTCGTGTGGACCTTTTGATATTTTGCACGTTAAATTAATATCACTGCCAGTTTTCACATACAAATCAGCCGTTCCGAAAATAACTGCTTTTAATTCTGCAAATATACAAAGAAACGTGGATCTTAGTTTCGATTTTATCTTGTTAAAAAAAAAATCCTAACGAAGAGCATACATAAAAAGAAAAAGTAAAAATGTATTTTATTTTTGTGTCACTCTTATCCAGAAGTATGTGAAAATGTTCGACGAGCTGGAATTGAAATTGTTTTAAAGTCAATTGGTGGCAACAAGGCATGTTTCTCTTTGTATAAGTAAATAGAGCACATTTATTCAGCAGAGTATATATGTGTACATTTCAATCAAACTAATGAACATTGAGAGTTTTGTTTGACTTTTCACGGAAAGTTTCTGTTGATGGTTAAACCAGACAGAAAAGGCAGGTATGGATTTGACGGGTTCAAATTGATATCAAGCATAACAACGATGATGATGGTATAAAGGTTGAAAAATACTTGTCAAATATATTCGTTACAAATAATAACAATATGTTAAATAGAATATTTGGCTTGACGAAAAAATAGAAGAAATTTCACATCTTGAATATATTTTGGATCTAAATGAATCTCATCGTTATTAGACGATAATTTGGTAAACTCAACATTTCAATTAATTTCTATTAAAGTATTAATTCATTCAATTCCATTTCCATTTCCATTTACGTGTATTGTTAACATTCTAAACAATGAAATATTTATTGTACTTGCAAATCAATCACATATACACATGATATTGCAATAAATTTCCATTTTCAAAATTTCCATCGCTTGATTAACCGCAGAACAATAAACTCAAATGTCAAAATGTGAAATGTTTTAGCAACAGGAAAAAAAAGTGAAAAATAGACCTTTATAATCGCTTTGCTTCTAGTATATTGATTTGCGTCGACAATGGAGTTCAATCAACTACAATGCTCTCGAGAATAATCTAATATCCATTTTAATTATTGCTTTTCCACGAAAAAGAACTATATGAAGTGGATGAATGGTGAACTTTTTCCATTATTCTATTAAATATTTCAAATTAAAATTTTTACACCATGCACGAATAAAATCAAAACGCATCAAATGGGAAAAGTTAAAATTAATGAAAAAAAAAACGATGAAAAATTACGCTCGAGGTGGGAATAATAGCACACATTTCACAAAAAAATAATATGTTTGGTATTTTTTAAATGGCAAAGCACGGAAAGGGCTGAAGAAAAAAGAAAAAATGAACGAGAATAAAGTTTTGTGTTTATTGTACATCCGTTTGGAGTGTTTCCCCCAGCGATTATAATAATCACATGTACGTATTTTGACTTATTGAAATTTGTAACGTGAACAAAAGAGTCCAAATTGAAAAATTGTTTGCACGAATGTATAAATTAATTTTTGTGCAGAGAAAAAAATCAATTTGAAAACAATGAAGATGTATCAGTCATTCCCACAAATATTAATGTGAGTGAAATTGAAATCGCTGTAGGAAAATTATAAATCATTTTTATTTTTGTACAAATTAAGTGTTTGCTACTTTTAAGCAATATTTTCAACAGCATAATTATCATTCATGTCGTCAACATCATTATCGTTAACACGCTCAATAGGGAAGCCATTAACATCAAATCGATGGCATTTAACGAAACTACACTCCAAAATACATGTGTATATATGTGGTGTTATACATGTGTAATCAGCGGAAACACATTTTTTTTGCAGTAATGGTGCAGAGTGTTTTATTTAAATTGTACACATTACTTAATATTTTCAAAAAAAAAAATGAAGCCATTGTTGGTTTGCCTTGGTAACGGCTTTCAAATGGATGAAGATAGATTTACCATTGCAACCAAGTGGACGAAGAGAGTATGAGATCGTGAACAAACACAAAATCATAAAGCTCTTGGAACGAGAAGAAAAGACAGCAGTGAAGACAGAGAATGCCATACCAATAGGGTGTATTAATTTTATTTGATCATAATAATTGTTATTTATATACATATAATAAACAACTGAACTGTGTTGCTTTTTCATTTCTATGAATACGCAATAAGGCTACAACTCACTCAACTGTTATGCTACGCAAAAAAATTTCGAAATGACGTTCAAAGAGGAAGAACCATATTTCGTTCAAAAATAACTTATAAATAATATTATAAAGTATGATTGTCTTTTCAAAACATACATAAGACTATAGTCATAGACGTAATATCGCATCATTTGTTCCTAGACATTTTTCTTATTTCTTTCCGAAAAATAAATACATGTAATTTCATTCATTTTCCCTTTAAAGTTTTTTTCTCACTTCCTTCATTTGCATATGCCTGAATTTTCGCATGGCATTTGTAGCTCAAATATGTCACCGTTATGGTGTACGAATCCAATGTGGTGTTGTGATGCCATTCATCATGAATGCAAGAGGTGCCGTAAGAGACGTGCGTAGTTTACTGTTGCTAACATCACCGTCAATATATTAATGGGAAAAATAATCCTGATTAAAAATCTTACTTTTATTATTACAACTTTAAGAAAGTTGTCGTTAGCATTGGGTTTTGTCGTGCATTAATACGAAGACGGCACATTTGGCTTCAACGGGATAAATAACAGTTGTTTTTTTTTAGAATGAGACTTATGCAAGCTTTTGGTTTAAAAATTGATAGAACCGTTTAAAGCTTTTATTTTGCATAAAATGATAAAATTCACTTCAACGCAAAAAGAACGAACATTTACGTCTCGAATGGTTTTTGAGCTCTTTTCAATTTCACATATGAATTAACGTATTGTAATTCATTGGAATACCGTGTTGATGGATTTTTTTTTCAAAATTTTTAATTCCATATTTAATTTCAAATAAAAAAATAAATAATAAAAGTGTAAAATACGGATAAATTAAATGAGAAAAGATAAAAATAGTAATGTAAGAGACTTATGAGCGACATTACTCATCTAATCACATTGCAATATCGGATGAGGTATTTTTTTACTAGTTGGATAGTTCCCATACAAAAAAAATCGATCCTTTTTTGTTGACTCAGCGAAAGCCAACAAGTTCAACTGATCGAAAACTATAATAAGGAATAAAGTTGTGTAACAATATGTGGAATATTTATATGGTAAAATTGTATAATTTGATCGTCTTTATCCAGATACCGTTGCTGTCAACGCCTAGTTGAATTCGGTCCATAGTAATGCACAATGTCTGCATCAATATTGCAAAAGCATCATTTATGCAGCGAATTGTGGTTATTTCGGTTGTATCGTAAATTCATACGCTGAATTTCACAGTGAATGATTTGCCTCACGAAAAATCAAACGATTGCCGATCAGCTTTGATCGTTGAATTATGAGCAAACAATACGACATCATCGAAGCCATAAATTATTCACGAAGTGAAAAATTCGCAGTCGACTTTGTTTTATGAACAACCAGCACCTGAATTATTGTTCGATTTTGTGTTCGAATCTGAACAAAACTGAAATTCATTGCAATACTTCGAATTTTGTGTTTGTCTTTTTTTGGTTTGTTACACATACATACATTTATACAGGATTTTTTTTCTGTTGCACTTTGAGTGCGTTTTTTTTTTGTACATATGCATTGTGCATGTGTTTCTGTGGCTTTTGTTTTTTTTTTCATGTTTGGATTTGTGATTGCGTTCGCTTTCACAGATTGTCTCTATTTCCATGGGATGTCCTCTGTGTGTCGCTGAACAGTGCATGGCCATGGTTATTTTCTTCCTTTCGTCATTTTTCGGCACAGTTGCCAATGCTATATTTTATTCTTTTATATAGCATTCGCTTGACTCCGCTTAAAATTCGAGCCAACGCAATCGTAATAAATAAAAATTTATTACTTATTGTCATCCAGAAACGAAAAAAAGAGAGTTATTTTTGTGTATGTGTTTTTTTTAACATTCGATATTTTTTTTATCACTTGCAGTCTGTTCGTTGTTCCTGGTGCCTCAGCCGAGAGGAATGGTTATTGTTGTTCCAATGCATCGTGACTTCGTATCTAGCTACTCAGAAACAGTTCAACAATTTTCTGTGTCTCGACCTATTCTTTTCTCTCACATTATATGTCGCCATCTCCTCTTTGGTTGGTCTGGACACTTTTTGTAACTGTGCACCGCCTGGCTTCTTGTTTGGTTGTTGTTGATGATGATGATGATCGTAGTGTACATGCTTTTGTTGCATTTCGATTTTTAACTTATTGCCGTTTTTCGTGATTGTGTTTTTATGTTTGTTCTTTACCGGATTATATTACCGGATATCTCTTTATAGTTTTTTGTGGCCCGGATGAACGAAGGATTAGTGTTGGAGAGTAGGGAAAGCCAAGTTAAGATTTCAAAATTGCTTCACTACGTGTGATGATGCTGGTCTTTCTGTGTGTGCTTTCATTTTCTTTATACATTTTACAAATATAAATGCGATTACCAACCACTGTTGCTTTGGCCACACACACACACAGACACACACAACAATGCCTTGCTCATCTTTTGTTTTCATTTCTTGTTTCTTCTCTACGATTGAAAATATATAATTTTTTTTTTATTATTGTTTATAAAAATGATATGTTTACAACGTATGCTACTGACCTAAAAAGGGAAAAATTCGTCTGAAACATTAGTACAACAAGCACATATGTCCGTATTGCAGTTTGTTTTCGAGCATTTTAAATAATCGAGCAATTCGTTTGACAATTGGACACCGGACGCGAGAAAATTTTGATTTACTATTTTACGAAACACATACATCATGGTTCGGGACAATTTTCATCTTCAATTTAATCGAAACTGTTTAATATGTGAGACCCTGTTGGTGACCAAATAAAACATTTTATTTTATTCAGCTGAACTCAAGGTAGAGAGAAATAGCAAAGAAAAACAACAATAAACAGTAGGCGGTGTAGTTTTTTTTACATTTTCCATATATGCATTTTGCTCGATGATCCAAACTGACATCACATATATCTAACACCAAACGCCTCTGGAAATAATTTAATATTCTATCAATATTTATTAAATAACCTTAGCTGCTTGTTAGATTAATTATTTAGCTTAATGAAAA